CAGTGGGAGGAATAATTCCCCATCGATGGTTTCAGTGGGAGGAATAATGCCCCATCGATGGTGTCAGTGGGAGGAATAGTGCCCCATCATTGGTGTCAATGGGAGGAATAGTGTCCCATCGTTGGTGTCAGTGGGAGGAATAGTGCCCCATCGTTGGTGTCAGTGGGAAGAATAGTGCCCCATCATTGGTGCCATTGGGAAGAATTGTGCCCCATTATTGGTGTCAGTGGGAGGAATAGTGTCCCATCATTGGTGTCAGTGGGAAGAATAGTACATAGTGCCCCATCATTGGTGTCAATGGAAGGAATAATGCTCCATTGATGGTGTCAGTGGGAGGAATAATGCCCCATTGATGGTGTCAGTGGGAAAAATAATGCCCCATCATTGGTGTCCATGGGAGGAATAGTGCCGCAGCCCCATCATTGGTATCATGGGGAGGAATAGTGCCCTATCATTGGTGTCAGTGGGAGGAATAATGCCCCATCGATGGTGTCAGTGGGAGAATAATGCCCCATCGATGGTGTGAGTGGGAGGAATAGTGCCCCATCATTGGTGTCAGTGGGAGGAATAGTGCTGCAGCCCCATCATTGGTATCAGTGGGGGGAATAGTGCCCCATCATTGGTGTCAGTGGGAGGAATAGTGCCTCATCATTGGTGTCAGTGGGAGGAATAGTGCCCCATCATTAGTGTCAGTGGGAGGAATAGTGCCCCATCATTGGTATCAGTGGGAGGAATAGTGTCCCATCATTGGTGTCAGTGGGAGGAATAGTGCCCCATCATTGGTGTCAGTGTGAGGAATAGAGCCCCATCATTGGTATCAGTGGGAGGAATAGTGCCCCATCATTGGTGTCAGTGGGAGGAATAGTGCCCCATCATTGGTGTCAGTGGGAGGAATAGTGCCCCATCATTGGTGTCAGTGGGAGGAATAATGCCCCATCATTGGTGTCAGTGGGAGGAATAGTGCCCCATCATTGGTATCAGTGGGAGGAATAGTGCCCCATCGTTGGTATCAGTGAGAGGAATAGTGCCCCATCATTGGTGTCATTGGGAGGAATAATGCCCCATCATTGGTGTCAGTGGGAGGAATAATGCCCCATTGATGGTGTCAGTGGGAGGAATAAAGCCCCATTGATGGTGTCAGTGGGAGGAATAGTGCCCCGTCAAAGGTGTCAGTTGGTGGATGTGCTCCAAGGGCCAGACAAAGGCAAGCCAAGAGTAAAATTTGGCCCCCAGGCCACAGTTTGGCGACCACTGATCTAGCCCTTTCCTCCACAACCTGACTGTCTCTGGCCCCGCCCCATTCTTTCAGTGGATTTTAGCTCTTTAAATCATGGATGCCCAGCATCACATGTGGGCGGTACCATGCAAATACAGCTTGCCTTGGAACGCCCACTCTTCCCGACTGACACCAAACCATCAAGACATTTTAATATTGTCACAACTCCTCCCAAAACCAGCCCACAGCCTGCAAGAGGGCTGAGGATTCTCAACAGGAGTGCTGAGACAGGGTGCTGTGATGTTAGGAAGCTATGTACAGCACTCTGCCAGACCCTCCCACTAGTCATGATCTGCCTCCATTGCATAGAGACACACAGGGACCCAGTGCTAATGTCACTAAAATAAGGCATGTATTGAAAATGGGTTTTATTTCTCATTTTGTTTAGCTGGTTGATGAGGAGGAAAAGGAGGAAGCAGGTAAAGACAACATTTGAGCAGATTAAACTCCAACGTTGAGCCCTCCTCCATCTTGATTTCTTTTTTTGTATTTTTCTCCATCAGGGAAATGTTCTGCAGACCTGCAGCCGGTGGAGAGGTTCGGCTTCCATACCACCACCTGTTGTGGATATATTCCGCAGGTCAGAGGCTTTACTATACCAAAGAACACGTGGGAACGTTTGTTACATATACTGTAAAGAACTGATATAGATCTGGGGGAGGGGCGCGGTTTGTATCACATGACCCTTTTTCCGAAAGCACAAAAAATGTATTTGGACAAAAATCCGGGTCCTTACTTGTTGATTTGGCTTGCCTCTGTTTGCTCTGAAATCTCCATCAGTAATGTCAGCTCTGCCCAGTTCTCCTCAGCTAGACTACAGAACACCTCCCTCTTATGGTGTAGGGATGAAGTAGTGTTGGGCTTTATGTTTGAGTCAAACATTGGCCATTCATGTGTTAGCCACGCCCCACAATGCACTGCGTCCTGACATCATCACAAGTCAAGTGCAATGCTTTGGCCAATCACAATGCATGACGATGTCAGGGTGGCCCCGCCACCTTGTGACATCATCACACTATTTAGGAACCGTCATCCTGATGCAGCTGTCAGACGACGGGAGACAACGACATCAACGGAACGGTGATTGCTCGTCCCCCCCTTTCCTGACCTGCCAGCATGCTCTGATAAGGGTCCGGTATGGATTTTGGGGGGACCCACACGCCATTTTTTTTTACATTTTTGGCGTGGGGGGTTCCCCTCAAAATCCATACCAGACCCGAAGGGCTTGGTATGATTGGGGGGGGGGGGGGAGACCCCACGTGGTTTTTTTTTTAATCTTTGAATTGCCGGCAATTGTTTTTACATTCAGCTGTCAGCGGGGAACCCAACTGACAGCTGGAACATTAAAGAATCACTACTACAATACCGCATGACGTCATCATAGAACTCATGCCGAATTTCAGTAGCTGAGCGGGATCTGACCACATACTGAATTGTCCCGGTTTGAAGTTCGCGGTCGAACTTTCAGTAGGTTTGAATGTTCGACCGTGAACCGAATAATAGTGTTCGACCCATCACTAGTATGAAGAAAGGTGGGGGTGTTCTGTAGTCAGTTCACCTCAACAAGTTAGGAGCTCACTGGATTTCTGACAGGTCAGCAGGCAGTGGATTTATATCCCTCGTGGCCGGTGAGGAATAGAATTCAATGAATGATTTGTGTATCCGGAGTTCAGCTTTAAAATCTAACGGATGTTGTAAACCTTCAAAGTGAGACCTAAACAAGTACCTAAAATATGCAAATCCTCACATTGCTCTCCTGTTTGTATCGTTGTTGTCTTCTCAGGTCAATGAGTGGCAGGAGGACTGGGCGACTTTCTTCGCATCTCAACGTCTGCAGCCTCAGCTCAGCTTAATTGAGAAGGACTACGGTGACCGGACAGTGCTGGGGCTCTGGTCAGAGCTACAGGTCAGTTTATTGGAAAGATAAATAACTCTCCTCTCCTGAAATACTCTGCACTGCTGGAGGACTCCGCTCCTTCCTCTATAACTCTCCTCTCCTGAAATACTCTGCACTGCCGGAGGACTCCGCTCCTTCCTCTATGACTCTCCTCTCCTGAAATACTCTGCTCTGCCGGAGGACTCCGCTCCTTCCTCTATAACTCTCCTCTCCTGAAATACTCTGCACTGCTGGAGGACTCCGCTCCTTCCTCTATAACTCTCCTCTCCTGAAATACTCTGCACTGCTGGAGGACTCCGCTCCTTCCTCTATAACTTTCCTCTCCTGAAATACTCTGCACTGCTGGAGGACTCCGCTCCTTCCTCTATAACTCCTCTCCTGAAATACTCTGCTCTGCTGGAGGACTCCGCTCCTTCCTCTATAACTCCTCTCCTGAAATACTCTGCTCTGCTGGAGGACTCCGCTCCTTCCTCCATAACTCTCCTCTCCTGTAATACTCTGCTCTGCTGGAGGACTCCGCTCCTTCCTCTATAACTCTCCTCTCCTGAAATACTCTGCGCTGCTGGAGGACTCTGCTCCTTCCTCTATAACTCCTCTCCTGAAATACTCTGCTCTGCTGGGGGGACTCCGCTCCTTCCTCTATAACTCTCCTCTCCTGAAATACTCTGCTCTGCTGGGGGGACTCTGCTCCTTCCTCTATAACTCTCCTCTCCTGAAATACTCTGCTCTGCTGGAGGACTCCGCTCCTTCCTCCATAACTCTCCTCTCCTGTAATACTCTGCTCTGCTGGAGGACTCCGCTCCTTCCTCTATAACTCTCCTCTCCTGAAATACTCTGCTCTGCTGGAGGACTCCGCTCCTTCCTCTATAACTCTCCTCTTCTGAAATACTCTGCTCTGCTGGAGGACTCCGCTCCTTCCTCTATAACTCCTCTCCTGAAATACTCTGCACTGCTGGAGGACTCCGCTCCTTCCTCTATAACTCTCCTCTCCTGAAATACTCTGCTCTGCTGGAGGACTCCGCTACTTCCTCCATAACTCTCCTCTCCTGAAATACTCTGCTCTGCTGGAGGACTCCGCTCCTTCCTCTATAACTCTCCTCTCCTGAAATACTCTGCTCTGCTGGAGGACTCCGCTACTTCCTCCATAACTCTCTTCTCCTGAAATACTCTGCGCTGCCGGAGGACTCCGCTCCTTCCTCCATAACTCTCCTCTCCTGAAATACTCTGCACTGCTGGAGGACTCCGCTCCTTCCTCTATAACTCTCCTCTCCTGAAATACTCTGCTCTGCTGGAGGACTCCGCTACTTCCTCCATAACTCTCTTCTCCTGAAATACTCTGCGCTGCCGGAGGACTCCGCTCCTTCCTCCATAACTCTCCTCTCCTGAAATACTCTGCACTGCTGGAGGACTCCGCTCCTTCCTCTATAACTCTCCTCTCCTGAAATACTCTGCTCTGCTGGAGGACTCCGCTCCTTCCTCTATAACTCTCCTGTCCTGAAATACTCTGCACTGCTGGAGGACTCCGCTCCTTCCTCTATAACTCTCCTCTCCTGAAATACTCTGCTCTGCTGGAGGACTCCACTCCTTCCTCTATAACTCTCCTCTCCTGAAATACTCTGCTCTGCTGGAGGACTCCGCTCCTTCCTCTATAACTCTCCTCTCCTGAAATACTCTGCTCTGCTGGAGGACTCCGCTCCTTCCTCTATAACTCTCCTGTCCTATAACATTTTCTCTCTCTTCAGGTGAAAGTTCAGAATGCCTTTAAAGACACGGTAATCATCCCGTCCCTCCTACACGGAGATCTATGGGAAGGCAATACTGCAGAAGATGAGGATGGACCGGTTCTCTTTGACCCAGGTTCCTTTTACGGTCATTCCGAATGCGACTTGTCTATTGGGGAGATATTTGGGGCTCAGTGTGACGACTTTTACTCAGCCTATCACAGGAGAGTTCCCCAGGCTCCTGGCTACAAGGTCCGGCATCGGCTGTACCAACTCTTCCACTCCTTGAATAATTGGAACCACTTTGGATTGGCATTCAGAGGAGTCACTGAGAACCTCATGAGATGCCTCCTCCAGGTCTTGTAAAAACAACGTCACAAATATTGTACAATAAATAATAAGAAAAACATTTCCTTACCTGCCCCACGTTTCATCACCGGCCCCACGTTTCATCACCGATTGCATTTTTTTTAAAAAAAAGACGCGTTTCGCCCAATGGACTTTATCCAAGCCTCCATGTAGATCTGGATTCTGGTGCTTCAAATGCGACCAGCTATGACACCAAACCAACCGAGGACTTGAAAACTCGGTTGAGAGCGGATATAAGCACAACGGCAGCTCCAGCAGCGGCATGCTTTGATTGAAACTCTTTTGGGAGATGGTTAAATCAGTGGGCCAAAAATACATGTCCATCTAAGACCAACCAGTCCACAGGGTGACAACAGTGCTGAGCAATTTCACTACAGCAGATAGCATTGTCACCCCATTAAAGGAAGTGGTAAAAGGCCGGACCTACTGGCAGGACCAACAGGTAATAAAATGTTACAGGCAGTAGGCCATTTTTTAAAAAGTTTGCCCATAGCTCCACTTTTAATGTGGGCCAATCCAGCAGAACATACTTCATGAGCTTAACATAAGCAGGGGTGGAGCTTAATCTTGACTTGGGCAGAATTCAAGGGCTTATATAGAGCCTGAAACCAAGATCCAAAGGGGAGCCATAGGGATAGAGGGATTGATTTGAAGACTAAAACAGGTACCTGCAGGCACCGCAAGGTCCAACACTTTAGCACTCGGAGTACCTTGGGAATGTTTTGGGCCAGGTTTGCTTTGTATCGTTATGACAATGCTATGAATCCATTATTGGAGGGACCAGGAGATTCTGAATTCTGAAGTTTCACCACTTGAGGTCCGGAAACTTTCAACACCTTCCAGTCCAGACTAATTTTCAGCTCTGTTGCACTTTGAATGACAATTGCGCAGTCATGCAACACTGTACGCAGATGAAATTTGTATCTTTTTTTTTTTTTTTTTTACACAAATAGAGATTTCATTTGGTGGTATTTGATTACCACTGAGTTTTATTTTATTTTTTTTTTATATAAAATGAAAAAAAAGACTGAAAATTAAAAAAAAAAACATTATTTGCGTATATTTTGATAGAAAATTTTGCTATATAAAATTTTTGTTATAAAATTTTAATTAATCTTTCTTCATAATTTTAGACAAAATTTATTCTGCTATATTTTTTGGATAAAAATAACCCAAAAAAGTGTATATTATTTAGTCTGTGTGAAAGGTATAGACTAGGGGCGGACTGCCCGAGGGCCCGGGGTCAGTAGGGGGCCCCAAGAGATGCCCCTGGTACCTTTTTCATAGGCTTTTTTGAGTTTGGGCAAGGACACAGGGGCCCCATGATCCCCTTTTGCCCGGGGGCCCCATGAGTTGTCAGTCTGCCCCTGGTATAGTCTATAAAACTATGGTAAATACAGGGGCATCTCAATAAACTCGGCTGACCTAAACCCCATAGAGAATCTGAGGGGCATAGTCAAGAGGAAGATGAGAGACCCGAGGGCCCGGGGTCAGTAGGGGGCCCCATGAGATGCCCCTGGTACCTTTAATAGGCTTTTTTGGGTGTGGTTTGAGTGTGGGCTAGGAAACAGGGGCCCCATCATCCCCTATTGCCCAGAGGTTCCATGAGTTGTCAGTCCACCCCTGCACCAGACCCAACAATGCAGAAGAGCTGGAGGCCACTATCAAAGCAACCTGGGCTTCCAGAACACCTCAGCAGGGCCACAGGCTGATCTCCTCCATGTCACACCGCACTGATGCAGTAATTCGTGCAAAAGGAGCCCCGACCAAGTGTTGAGCGCACATTATACTGGACATGGACATACTTTTCAGTAAGCCAACATTTCTGTATTAAAAAATTCTTTTATTTTTCCTATTTTTTTTTTTTTTTTTTTATTATTATTTGTGATTTGATTAAGCCTGGGTATGCTCATTAGGCTTTGTTTTGTATTCTCCACTTTATAAGTCAATAAAGAGAATTTTCAAAAAACAAAAAAAAATGTTTTCTATTTATTGGTCTTCTGAAATATTCTAATTTTCTGAGATACTAAATTTTGGCTTTTTACTAGCTGTAAGCCATAATCATCAAAATTAAAAGAAAGAAATGCTTGAAATATATATATATAAATATATGCTTGAATGCAGTGGCTTAAATCTAGAAGTAGACCTCTAAATATTAAAATGAATCACATTCAAAGAGATAGAATTTTCTTAATAACCCAGGAAATTTTACTGAGAAGAGGAACATCTGAATACAATGCCAGAAGCAAGACATTTGTAAGGTGGTTGGTCGGCATTTTTTTACCTGCACCGAAATCTGCATACACAGAATACCGACACCATAATGACCATAATACCGCACAAACCTGCCAGCGAGAAATTTATGCAAATAAATCTTTATTTTCCACTTGATCCACCCGTAAGCCCCAGGCCAAGGGAGCCGCCACATTACATTCCAAGATGAGGTCATTAGAAAGTCCCTAACTATATATATATAGATAGATAGAGAGAGAGAGAGAATATAAATATTTATTTTTTTTTTTGTTTGTATATATAATAATATAAACTATATATATATATATATATATATGTATATATATATTTCTTCAAATTATATTAAATATATATATAATTATATATATATATATATATATATAAAATAATATAATTTGAAGACATAAAAAAAAATAAAAAATTATATATATATATATATATATATATATATATATATATATATATATTTTATATTATATATATACTGAATACAGTCAAATATTACTTTAATATATAGAATATTAAATTACATATCTGTAATAATTATATATATATATATATATATATATATATATATATAATATATATAAAGATAGATTTTAAGAAACTAAAGTATATATAAATATAGTATATTCAGTATAATTTAGGGAGCAAAAAAAATATTATATACACAGTAAATGTAATATAGTATTATATATAATAAAATAATATATTTTATTATATAGATTATTATTTTAATATTATATTACTACAGTACATATTATATTCTATACAAATTATATATGCCTCTATTTTGTCTTATCTTAGTTTTGTCAGCCATTACAAATACAGTATGTTTGAACCCATTTAGAAAATGCTTAACATTTTTATATTTGAAATACCGTTGGCTGGACTCAGGGGTGGACTGACCATTCGGGCACTCGGGCACTGCCCCAGGGCCCGGGGTCAGTAGGGGGCCCCATGAGATGCCCCTGGTACCTTTCATAGGCTTTTTTGGGTGTGGTTTGAGTGTGGGCAAAGACACAGGGGCCCCATGATCCCCTATTGCCTGGGGCCCCATGTCAGTCCACACCTGGCTGGTGCAAGTGCCTAAAAATTATATACAATGTTCATTGGAACAGGTGTTCCCCACGGGGCCCCTGTGCAAGACCAGCCCCACCACCACCTTTAACTACTGTCTATCCAATAACAGGTAGATAGAAGTGAGTGTCCAGGCCTAGGTGACTGTGAGAGGGGTCCCAACTCCCATCTAGTACAGATAGGTCCCTATGTCCCAGAGGGTCCCTGTGCAGTCTATACAAGTGCTAGTGCCAGTACTGTCTATGGTTATGTCATTTTTGTGTATTGTAGCCATCATCCAAAACGTCCTAACTTCTGATTCTCAGCCAGCAGTCATCTTTGTCCTCTAGAACACCGAATGCAGCATGGAGGGGCTCTGTAAAGGTGGTGGCAAATGTGTACAAGTGTCTCATTGAATCCCCCTGCTCATAAAAGGACAGCCACCCACCTTCGTAATCCAGATAGATCCTGAATCTCTGGCCCAGGCTCTGGTGGGGTATGGGGAACTCTTCTCCCTCATGTATCACAGAGTACTGATTCTGATATTTAGTTAGACACCAGGACTTGGCATTTTCTCCCAGCCAGGAATGGTCCCCATGCCTCTCAATGGAGGCATATGCCAGCCCCATCATCCAGTCTCCCAGTTCACTGGTCTCCACCACCAAGTAGTACCGTCCTGAGGAGAAACTCCTGCAGCTTAAAACTTGACCGTCCTCAAACCTCTGTGGTGATTCTGGATAACACTGGTCTGTATGGGACACCAAAACGGTTTTCCTGTCCTGTGACACGACCATGTTAGCCGCTGCTGTGTTTACATCCAGAAAAATGTCTGAAGCTTCAAAGAAGGAGACCCTTGAGGAAATTTCTCTTACAATGTCACAAAGTCCTAAGTGGATGGTCTCCAAGATCAGACCTTCATCCAGGTTTCCTGTGGCAAGAAGCTGGCTATGGTGTCCACTTAGGAAACTTTTATCCCGTTGCTCGGGGATGGAAAAGTCCAACTTCTGATCCTGCAAGAACACTATTGGGTCGGTCATGATGCACATCTCCTCGATGTGCTGTCTCCTCATGGACAGCTCGTCCTTCTTGATTTCCAGATTCTTGGTCAGACCAGAGATATACTGGGAAAACTCCTCACCCCCTCTGAAGATCTCAGTCAAGACTCTTTTCTCCAGATTTTCCAGTTTCCTCCTGATGTTTCTAAACAGAGCGGTTGCCTTGTCTGCTAAGTCACTGACCTTTTCTTCCCTTTCTCTAACGTTTTTCTTAAAATTCCAGATTTGACCATCAATGGTCTCTTCCTTGGAGGCCAGTACGTCCAGAAGCTTTTTCAGTTTTCCCTTCTTCTTTTCAGATGCCTCATCAATCAGCTCTACCTTGTGTTTCACATTCTCGGCAGGGCAGCAGTTAACACAGATACATTTTGCATCATCGTAACAATAAAACATCAGTTTTTTTTTTGTGGATGAAGCATTTCCGATCCTCCAGGGAGGCGGTGGGATCGGTTAAGATATGCTCTTTTGCTTTGCTGTGAACTTTCAGGTGGTCGTGGCACAAAGAGCATTCACAGTGCAGACATGTTTTCACAGCAGGTACAGGAGAATCTAT